CTATCTATCTATCTATCTATCTATCTATCTATCTATCTATTCATTCCTGGGTCAGGAATGAATAGATAGATAGGAATCCAATATGGTCTCACCAGTTGCCTCTTCAGTTGACTTCTGGAGACAGACAGGTGCAACGAGGAGGGTAGGAAAAGGGATTGGCACATTTTCTGATTTGATTGAGAAGAAGTGCTTAGGAAACATCTGGGTCCATGGCAGAGGTTCACAAGGAAATATTTTAAGGTTCAGAGGGAAGCTTTCAGTGAAGGAGAGCAGGTTGCCTGTTTAACTGTGTGTAGTACTTCTGCCAGAACTATCACGGCTCAGCCCAGAAGGATTTTTATTAGACTATTAGTTGAAAAGTATATTTGGTTCAGAGGAATAAAGGAAATCAAAACATATTCATTTTTAATATTCCAGTTTTTAACTTGAAAGGCCTGAGGAAATCCTAGAACCTTTTTATCAGGGAAACAAGAGGGATGATACCAGTTTAAGGAAAGTGGTTGTATTCACATGGCTAACTTACAGTTCCATCAAAATGAGGAGCACATTTCTCAGAACAGTTGTTGCAGATCTTTAAACTTTACATTGTCTGTTAACTGAAAAAAAAAGTCAAAATAAAAGCAAATATGAGCTCTGAAAACCAACCTTACGTATATCTTTATAATAAACAGTAATTCTACAAAGTTAATCACTTTTGCAATGCTACATAATTAAAAGTCATATAAAAGTTAGCATTTTTTTCCCCATCAAGATAAGCTCTGAATAAATATCAGTGAGCGCTGCAGCAGGGGGTCCTCACTCTCCAGTAAACAGAGGGTTGGCCACAGTCGTGGTGGGATTCTGGAACAGTGGATTTTCAGCCTAGTATAAAGAAACAACAAGTTACAATGATTGGTGTGCAGGGTTAGAGCACTATTTAGAAATGTTTTGAATTACGGTTGGTAAAACTTTTACTTTTTTCCCTCAGATCAAAACCTTTTCCTCACTACTTTTGTTGTCAGTGTTTTAAACTATGGATTGATAGTGGATAGAGAGAAAAAAAAAGAATGAAAAGAAACCTACATTTGCCCATTTGCTTTTCTTCTTTTCATTTTCAAATTTTTTGAACTCTTTTAGGTCCTTCATGTGGATCAGTAACTTGATCAGCATCAGCAGCAGAATCCCAATTACAGCCACAGCAGCAACAGATCCAAGTATGATAGCTATGACATTAGGTGGTTCCGGGCAATCTGTGAAAAAATAATCAAACAGATATAACTAAGATACGGTAACACTAAGAGCTGGTGGTCTGCTTTATGGGATAGTGCAGAAACAATCATCTCACCTTAAATCTGAATAGAACAGAGAATAGTAATAGGAGCAAGAGAAAAATGTCAAACACTATCTACCTCATGGTAGAAGAGATGGAGCAAATAGGTTTAATACCCAGTAAATAGGTATTATATCGGGTTGAACTAAAAACAGACTAATTGCCTTATGACCAGTTCAGACCTTCGGTGATTGCAGTCAGACGCCGCAGGTCTTACAAAATCTTGCTGTTGAGCAAGCAGTATCAGAATCAGTGCCTTAACAAGTTAATAAAGGAGGCAGACTCTTCTCTGGGAACTGCTTTGAATCTGATCAAGGTGATTGTGAAGGAGGGTGGTTCATAAAATGAAAATTCAATGGATTTCTGGGAGGATCTACTTCATAAGACACTAACCTAAAAATGTCTTTAGTCAGATTATTCTCTAGATCAGGGGTGAGCAATTCCAGTTCCCGGGGGCCGGCATCCTGCAACTTTTACATGTGCCTTTATTCAAAACACAACTGAATCAAAAGCCTCCACCTGGCTCAGGGGAGGTAGAGGACGATGATGACGATGCTGTAAAGGTGGTAGCCCCCTGGGTTGAAGAGACTGACATGGTCAATGTGGTCAATGGTAAAACGTAGCTGCCATGCAGTCTTCATATGACTCCAGCTTCCTCCTTTTATTTGTCAATGCCTTCAACCCCAAACTGCTCATGTATTGGTTTATAAATGATGAGAGTGTGAATGTGGTTGTGCTTTGACTGGTCAGAATGACTCCTCAGTTTAACAGTGTAATTGTGTTTGCTTTTTATTCAGTTTATAAGGAGCAAATTCACAATAATCTTCAATCTATTTCACTTTCCAATTTAGTTTTAGTTTTAGTTAAGCTCCTTAATTTCAGTCCCGGAGGGCTGGTGTCCTCCAGCATTTAGATGCTTCTCTGCTTCAACATACCTTACTCAAGAATTAGCTCTACAGCACTGCAACACTAAGCACGACAGAGCCCAACTGCTGGTAGTAATAATTCAGTTAAGACAATTTGATTCAGGTATGTTGGGTAGGGGACAGCTAAAAGTTGCAGGACACTGGCCCCTTTATGATAAGAGTTTTACATCACTACATTAAAAAAAGTTGTCAAGTTAAATTTAAAAAGCAAACTGGTATAAATGACTTGCAATCAGTAACATACGTACCTTTTGTATTCAGTATTTCAGCCAAATAACTATCAATTCCAGTTAACTGCTCCAGCTTGAATTTGATCCAACAGCCCTGACTGTCCTTCTGGTTGCATTCTTTACCCTGAAGAGTAAACGTTTCAACGACTGAATGGGAAATGGTCTCCTGACAAACATCTTTGCAGTCTTTTCCCAATTTATCAGGATCAGGGAAAAGGCATTCAATGCATTTCCTGAGAAAAGAAAATAGATAAAGTTTAAAATAAAATAAGTAAAAAAACAAATAAGCCATAAAGTTTTCACTAGCACCAGTAACATTTTATGCATCACAGCAACTTTAGTGGTCTTACAGCTTGGTCTGGCATGGGTCAGGGCAGCCAAGGCATTTCTGGCAGTTTGGGCGCTGATATCCCTCACGGCATTCACAAAGGTTGCAAACGCACGTCCCTCTGCCAAAGCAGACAGTGCCGTTTGTTGTACGACATCCCTCATCTGAAACCTTGCACTGACAAGCAGAGCCACTATAACCTTTAAAGCATTCGCACTTTCCACATTTGCAATTACCGTTTCCTGAAAAAAAAGGATTGTAAAGGATTAATATTCGTTGATTCAACTATTATTTAAATACGACCAGTATTGAGCATTTTTTCTTCGGATAAACTTTACATGCACTAGTGCACTCACACACAAACAACTACAGGTGCTTGGTTCCAGGTACTTAGAGATTCACTTCCACACAGAAAGCCTATAGTCTTATCTTCAGGTAACACAGAATACATGTCAGATTCAATTATACTACTCATATTTCAGTGATAGTATCTAGGTGTTACTTTATTATATGTCTTGTACCAAGTCCATTGGTTGTGCTGTTCTTTTTACATCTCCTTGCAGGTGATGAAGCTGATGGAAAATATTTTATCGTTATATCCCTTTTACCTCCTTTTTTATGTTTTTCCTTTCCTGTTCTACTTACATTGCAGTGTCCATATAATCAGTAATACTTCCTGCATAATTATAATAAAGCACTTTATATACATAAATCAAGTGGAACACTATGACGATAGCCTGCTCCACTTGTGAAAATAAAATCTTTTGGGCTCTTTTTGGCATCAAGACAATTATTCTTATTGCAACATCGCCAGACAGGACACTGTTAAGAAAAACAAAAAGCTATTATTTAAATGCATTATATTTTCAGTATTCATTTTAAAAATTAATTTTATGAATTCAAAGTAGATGCTATTCTGTTTAATTGAAACTTTATTGAACTCTACTGATCTCATATTGGAGAAATTTACTTCTGCATTTAACCCATCCTGTTGGGGAGCAGTGGGCTGCCATTGCGTGGCGCCCAGGGAGCAGTGTTGCTTTAAGGATTTGGCTCAGAAACCCAGAGTACAGGCTATGGGGATTGAACTCGGTACTTGCACTGGTACAGTTCAAGGGAGAATGAAACTCTGACATTCTTTTCCTAAGCCACAGACTCTGGTTCAGTCTGGGGGATCCCAAGGCTATAAAGGATATATAGGCCCTATTATCCTCTCAAAACCGTTTTAAAGTGTTTACAAATAATAACTCAGAATGCATGAAAATTACACTGGTAACATGTTTACCAATATAGACATGTTAGACATCATTGCAAAGCTTAGACTCTCCACAATTCAACCACCTAGTTTATTTTATGGACATAGCAAGCCCCAAAGCACATGTCTTTATAACGTCTGCTAAAAAAAGACATATTATTTTTGAGAATAAAAAAACTACTATGAGTTTGGGTGTTTTACTCTCCCAATTTTCACGTATATATTCAGAAACTAGAAGGTTTTAGCTTTCAAATAATGTATCACACATGTGATTTGGGCTTACAGTTCCTAAGTTATTTACTTTTCCATTTGGGTATGCAAAATAGGTGAGAATTCCCCAAAATTGGGTGGATGTTAAGCGTTTATGAGTGGTAGTCTTGTCTTAGGTTGACCAAGACAAGACCACCAATGAAGCATCTAGGAGCTAGCCCAAACACAGTCCTTTATGCAAATCAGCTGCCCCTCCTCCATAAACAATGTTTTAGCTAATCTTAAAAGTGAATGTATCTATAGATTAAACATATTTAGATTGCTTGGAGACACTTACAGAAGAATTGAGTCAAGAAACTTTAAATTCAACCTGCACATGTTAAGCTTCTAATGCCTAATTTATGCCTGTTGCCTCTGGCCTCTGTAATAGCTACTAGAAAGAATCCCCCCCCCCTGCTTCCACTCCACATGTGTTTTTTGAAGGATTGTGAACCTATGTGGCAGCCTAGTTGGGGGAGTGGCGGCCTAGTGGTTAGGGCATTGGGCTTTGAATCCTGAGGTTGTGAGTTTGATCCCCCACTCCCACAGACTGCCACTCTGGGTCCCTGAGCAAGACCCTTAACCCCACACTGCTCCCTGGGTGCCTCACAATGGCAGCCCACTGCTCCCCAAGGGGATGGGTTAAATGCAGAGAAGTAATTTCCCTCTGGGATTATTAGAGTATATCAAAAAAAAAAAAAAAAAAAAAAAAAAAAAACCTTTGTCTGGCATTTTTAATTTATAGGGATAAAAAAGATGCCAATTACATTTTTAAGGTCTTTCAGAAATACTTTCTGGTGCAAGATATCAGTTACTTTAAAAAACAGCTAAGAAATACAGCTCTTACCTGCACATAGCTTATTGTTGAATTTCTCGCAATGTTCATCATCACAATCGCAATAGTCTCCATAATAAAAGTTTCCTTGCTCTGTTTTATGGCACTGGCATCTGCCACATACACAGTCTCCTCGGCCCTCACACTCCGTGCCATTATCCTTTTTGCAGGAAGCTCGCAGAGCTTCTGCATCTTTTGTAGTAACATCACAGCCGCAAAACTGACCGGTAAAACCGTCATTGCAGCTGTATAGAGACATAATACAAATAATTTAAAAACTAAATAAAATGTGTTATATCTTTTCACAATAATTCCTCCAATTTAATACAAAAATCTAAATTCATCCATTTTCCATTACCAGCTAAGGTTCATCTCAGAGGTCCCTACAAAGAATCTTAACAGCAAAGTACAACATACCAATGCTAATAAACTTGTGGAAATTTCAGCAACATCTACTAAACCTAATGGCCATCGAATTTACAGTAAATGATTTCCAGCAGATTGCTCTATTTATTGCTAAAAAACTCTTGTGTTTTGTGTAAGTCTGTTACTGCTTTTGGAACAATGTTTCTTAAGGACCAATGGACCAGACAAGAACACCTATCTACACCTCCCCTCCAGTTGCAATCCTGCACTTTTTGCCTGTGCCATTTCCCTTTATTACACATAACTGAATTTCTGGACATCTATGGTTTTATTTCTTTATAGGAGTGGATTGCAAATACTGTAAGGATTGTTGCCGACATCATGAATGACACACATGAATAGCACTTCTAGAAATATATTTACTGAGAAAAATGCTTAGACCTATTCTACCCTCTGTACCCCCACACACACTAGGTGTCATACACTTTGCAGACTGCTCTACAAACAAGTTAGAACATGTTGTCAGATAGTAACCGTTATTAAGATGAGATCCAGGATCTTCCATGACATCCAGCTCATAATCTATGGGGGCACTAGTGATTGCTCTATAAATTGCTCTATAGAGTTGTATGTAGGGACTCTGTGCAATCCAATTAGGCAGTCCACATTAAACTTTAAATACATTGCCAACTAATGAAGTGCCTGGAGCATCTAAGTTAATTGATATGGTGTTGTGACTCAAAACTTTTTGGAATTGTGTATCTTCTGCAGCAATACTGAACAAAACCCAAAAAATAGTGAACATTGCATGACTGCGAACATTAATATGAGGATATAAAAAATTTAAGCAGTAATTTTGATGAAGAAACCTTACCTGCACACCCCACAGTCAATGCTTCCTCTATTGTTACAGTGTGCCAGATTGCTGCCTGCAGGGTTATTACATTCACACGTACAGTCAGTAGTAATGGTTACTGTCAGTTTGTCTTTAATTCCAAGTGGGCTTATGGTGAAGGACTTTTCCTCCATGCATGTGTCTGCTGTCACTGTAACATTGAAATGTATCTGCAAAGGGAGCAAATGAACCAATGAAGAAATTAACTGTAAAACGAATCACATGATTCTTAATTTTCTCCTGGGATGGAAGTGCTGGAACATAAACAATAATAAAGTATTGGACATTGAGGACCAAAGTCCATGTTTCATCTTAACATGTTCACTGGGGAAAAGGATGCAGTTTTGCTCATAAAACGGGTTTGAGAACTCTGCAACCCCCTCTCAGCCCATCTTCCTCCACAGTACACGTGCCACATAGGTGTGCCTTGGCCCCCCACGGAGCTGAAAACACTAAAAACCACGGCACTGAGGATTTCTCTCTCTTTCCATGAAGCTGCCAGGGGGTTCATGTTGGAAGAGGACACCACCATGGAGACCCAGGCCCAGGGTCCAAATCTCCAGAATGACCAAGGCTTGTGATGAATGACATTTCATAACTGAAAAACTGACCTTTTGCAACACATTTCTCTGAGTTTTACAGAGACAGGGTTTTTCAGTGGGACAAAGGAAACCCCCCTTGCTGTGAGCATGCCATGCTAAGCTGCCAAATGCTGGAGGAAACGCAAACTCTCCAAAATGGACAGGAACATAGGTATAAGGTCTGGCACAGGTAGGGAAAGATTCTAGTTAAACCATATGTCTTCTGATGATTTTGATCGTTTCGTGTGTTTACTGATGAGTAAAGAAAAAACTTACAGGATGGATCACATGGTACGCAATGCTACAGTAATATGTTTTGAGTTGTGGTTGAAGCTTGGACAAGCTTTACTTCACTAAGGCATTAAACACTGATAAAACGTTAGCGTTCATGTGTTTTCTGATGAGCTCATTAAATTTCAATTACCAAATTAAGACCAAAAGTAATTTAATGGAAACCTCATACCTATTCACTGCTAGCTATTCCAAAGAGGGTAAAGAATGATTTACCTGAAGGTTATTGGTTCTTGATTAAGCAACTCCTTTAATAAAGTATAATTTTAAGAATGTTTTATTCACCTCATGGATTTGCATTGTAAATTGTTTTGAAAACATTCCAGTCACTCTAAATTAGTAAAAAGCTAATTTGATCAAATCCCAAATTCTTCAAGATAAACTCTGATTCTCAAATACAAAATCCATCCTAAACTGTGAAAGGGACGTCAACCATGTTTTACCTTCCTCTTTGTACATCGTAGTTCACTTTAGTTTAGTTTCACTAGTCAAGAGTCGAAATATGTTTGACTTGGAGCTGAAGGATTTTTGTTGAAAAAACCTATATTTTCAATGGAAGTTGTGAATTTATTCCATTTATGTGCAGAATTATCTGTTTGATCATGTTTTGAGCTCAGTTCACACTTTCATAAACAATATATGAGAGTCTGAATAGTCTCTGATTAAATAAGATATTCACCACCCCTACCAGGGTGGGTATTAAATATATTATAAAATATCACAACATAATATTGCGTCTAATGTGCTTTTTTCTGATGTGGATCACTAGATGTTATCGTAAGTTTGTACTCCTTTAAGGCATTGAGAATCAAAAGTTATCAAAGGAATTTTGTTGCATCAAAGCATGTGGGTGTGACAAAGCATCAAAGTCCACACACACTGGGTATGAGCTGTACCATAGTTTCTGTGTGTCATTTTTGACCAGCAGTCAACACATACAGATTTTTGTCTGTGACACAGAACAACAAAATGGTCAATACCTGTTGGCTGGATGTGTTGGCGGGGCAGAGTGGCGTATACACACCTCTGCACATGTTTGGACCTAAATCACACAGGCATGACTGAATTTTCTTTAAACTGTATGTTGTTTGGCAAATTACTAAGAGCTTTGCTAAATTGTGTTGGTCTTTTAGGCACATATAAGAATATGTAAACCATATATCCTTAGTTCATTGCCACATCTTGGAATCTGTCATTTCTGCTTCATTAACCATCCAACCATCCAATTAAACAAACTGGTATGAAATATTAGCACGTGTTTCATTGGAAAAACCAGGTGTTTTTTGTTTTGTACCTCTCCCACATTTTATTTCCAAAAAGCATAATTTTCACTTGGTTATGAGAGAATTAGGGTAAAAAGCATCTAAAACCACTAACCTCTTGTCTCTCATGCACTTGATCACAGACCCCTTTATTCGGGCCTTCTTGCCTGGGATGATCACACTCTGGTCGGTACTCAACTCGTACATTGTCAGGAAGAACATCATGCGTCACTGTGACTTTAGAGGATAATTTCTGTAGCAAAATATTGATTTTAGCATATTGTCTCAATTCAATTAAACGTATATTAAACCAGAATACATTTAGTGAACAGTTGCACAGCAGACTTACCTGGTAGGCATTTTCAATCAGTTGAACAACATTTTTTGAATCTGATGACAGAACTCCCACCTCTGATTTTGGTATCATTTTGCTGAGATTCTAAAATAACATGAAATTAAAATATTTTAGATCAGATGTACATTTTTGCTACATGTTGGAATTATCTGAATCAGCTGCATTGAAGGAAATGTTAATATATTTACATCGTAAACGTTCTTAACGTTTTCTGTTACAGCAAATATTGGCTGGACATTGTTTTTCTCCAGCTGGATGGCCAACTGTCCAACAGATGGGTAGTCCTGGAAATCAGAAACAAAAACAAGAGATAAAAATAGACAACTACAATCCCTCAGTTAATCCAGCCATGGTTACCACAAAACATGCTTGAATCAGAGGTAACTGGACTTTCTAGGAGTGCCAGTTCTAGCAGCTTGATCTAGAACATGTAGTTGTTCTGTTACTTTATGCTAGGTTTTTCAGATTCTCCTGACACATATGGAATCATTTTGTTTTCTTTCCTGTGATAGATGTATTATTGCTCCTCCCATTGATTTTCTTTTTTCGGCTGACTTAACAAAAACCACATGCTTGGAGTGATTTCCTAATATATTTTTCTTTTCCTTTCTCCTTTGTAACTGAGGGGACCTTGTCATCCTCCTATCTCAAGAGTTTTAATGACAAATGGTTTGTGTTCCAGTGGGTGATGTGAATCAAAATACAGGTACTGTCCTGTATCTGTAAGTTTCTGGTATTTCTCAGTATTGATAATTTTCCATTTTCCTCAGTGTGCACAGCACAGTAGACATGTTTAAATCCCTTCTCCAACTCTACCTCACATTTTTGCCAGCAATAGAACAAAAACAAACACATACCATCTCACTACTTTTGACATAGAGGTTGTTTTTTATGTGGCAGTGTTCATCATTGGGTTCTAGGATGCCAGCCAGTTTTCCATCCCCAGCCATGTGAAATCCAGCGTCTGTGGCCAGAACAATCAATCGAGTGCTGCTGTTCCTCCAGCCTATTTGATCCTGTGAAATGTGTCAAAAAGATGTAAAAAAGTCATATTTTGTCAATAATAGGATACAAGATACCCAAGGGCCCACGAATAATGTACTTGGGCCGGCTGGAGAGTGAAGGGATACACCGGAAAGACATCTATCTTCTCAAAATCTTGATAGTGGCAGCTAAAAAGGCGATTACCAGAAAATGGTTAAAAAAGTGACCCTCTACACCTGACGCAATGATTTTAATAGAAGAGGAAATCTTCACAATGGAGGAAATGACCTACCACCTAAGGATAAAGTACAAATACCTGAAACAACAGTGGAGGAAGTGGTTTGATTACACAAATCGGAAAGGACTTACCCTCAATAAGACTGGAAACAGACAGATAAACCTTTTTAAGACTTTTGTGATCCCCACATTCACTAAACTCAGACTCTGTTATAGCTTTTATACCTGTTTATACCTCTGTATTCTTATCACCCTTTTCTGTTCACATTCTTTTTTGTTTGTTTTAATGCAAAATTGAAAAATACAAAATAAAAAGTTTTTAAAAAAGTCATATTTTGTCACAGACACGAACCTTTGTTTTCATTAGCAAAGTTAATACTATAGTCCATAGATACGTGATCAATGATGCCATTGGTTGTGATGACACTCACAATAACTACCAGTAAAGCAGTAATAATTGTTTAATATTGAATAATTTAAAATCAAGAATTTATCTTCTCTCTTTGCAGGTGGAATTTTAATTAATATGAAGTAAGTCTGGATTAGTAGGGAAATTCTATATAGTTTGTAATTGACTGTGTTTTGATAGCCTCTATAAACACTGTTTACACATCTGCAAAACATGCTGACCCTACGCTTACCTTATAACTAAGGCTGCAACTAACGATAATCTGTTGATTATTTTTTCAATAAATTGATTAATAATCAAAAAGCAAAAGGTTCCTTTAAGAAGATTTTTTACTAAATGAAACCAGGTGAAACTAAAACTTTTCCACTTGAGGAGTTCTGGATAGAGCATACAGTATAGACAGAAGAAAAAAAATAAATATATATTTTTTTATCTTAAATAAATATGGTATATTTACTGCTTTAAGTAGGTTGCTCTGTCAGCTAAAAGCATGTTTTAGTTAGAGTCTCCAGCTAACAATTAATCGACTAATAAATTAGTTGATGATTATTTCAATAGTCAATTAATCACGATAATTGTTTACCATATTACAACCTAAGTCATTTCTTTTCTTGGATCCACACCTTAACTGTTTTTATGACTGTTTTTTTACTGAGGAACTGAAAGGGGCCTCTTACCCCACATACAGCCGCTTGCATCATGGCATCAAGACTTCCTTCAGGAGAGTCTAAGTTTCCAGAAATATACTGCTTTGCCACCTCCTCTCTGAACTGTCGCTCGCTCGATGTCATACTAAGAACATGTCTGTAGCCAAAGGCAGCCTGACATTGCTGGTAATTCTCATCACATGGCTTCTCCAGTTTCTCCTTGTTAGTGTTGGTATAGGGAAGCACTGTCTTATCAACAAAGGCACCAAACCCTGTAATCACAAATTTGTTAAAAGATTATTTCTGCTTACAGCTATTAACATATACAACAAAACTGCATAACTCTAGGAATTACTGCAACAATTAATTTCTCTCCGGGTTTAATAAAGTATTTTTAAATGAAGAATTAAAGTTTTAAACCATACTGCTGCCTGTTGGCTGAAAGGCCATTGTGTAAAACTTTTACCAATTTTTTCATGAAAGCTGCAGTGGAGGATGTTCTTTTTCCAAGTGGATCATCAAAATAAGTGATGCTCCTAATTGTCAATCATTCTGGTGATACATTTACATAAGGCGGTCCTACGTGCTCATCCTTATCCATCCATCCATCCATCCATCCATCCATCCATCCATCCATCCATCCATCCATCCATCCATCCATCCATCCATCCATTTTCTCACACGCTTAATCCCAAATGGGGTTGCAAGAGGTGCTGGTGCCTATCTCCAGGTGTCTACGGGCGAGAGGCAGGGTACGCTCTAGACAGGTCGCAAGTCCATTGCAAAGCAACACAGAGACAAACAGGACAAAACGACCATTCACACACACAAGGAGAATTTAGAGAATCCAAAAACAGTCATGTTTTTGGACTGTGGGAAGAAGCCAGGGTACCCGGAGAGAACCCGTGCTCATCCACATTTCCACTTAGTCTGAGTCTGACATAGTGGAAAAATTGCAAATCTTCTTTTGAAAAGTAAGCTTGTAAGAGCCATGCAAACAGCAACAGAGTGTGGGAATTGGGCTCATACATGTTCTCGCACATCTTTAACAGGCGTTACCACTCGGAGTGGAGTTTTTTTTTTAAGTGCAGAGGGCGGGTCTTATCAAAAATTTGCAAAATCCTCCACTATACCTTTAAATATTTTCAGTTTATATAAATAAATGATCAATTTACAATATATGTAAATTAAAGGCACTTTACAGAGACAATTAAATCAAAGTATAGACAGTTTGTTTAAAAGTTTTGTATGTAAGAAACCCGAACTAAATGCATCCAGTGGATGAGTTTGCAGAATTCACTGCTCCTGGATGTACATGTTATGATAGTGGAAATTTACTTGCATTGTGTTGTTAGCTTTGCAGCAATCTCTAAAACCAAGCAGGAATGCAGTAAATTTGAAGAGGAAAACACCCTTTTAACAAGTAAAACCTGGACCAGAACTCAATGTGAGCAGCCTTTTGCAGAGACTGACTGGAGTGGAACTAAAGTGAAAAAAAAAACCCCAGTATGATTAAATTTTATGATAAAAAAGAGCTCTTTTTTTTAATCAGAGTGACAGATGAGTTAAGGTCCTCTTTCAAACAAGCAAGGATCAGGACACCATCAGTTATAAATTGGGTTTGCAAATATTTAATTTATTTACCAACCTGTAATTTAGCAGCATATCTTTATTTTCTATTATGTTATCTGTTATTTCCAATTATTAGATATTCTCTCCATCATGTGAATTATAAAGGCAATTTGGTAAATTGTCTTTGTATTTACTAAAGTTCCTGTTCTAATGGTTTTCCTGGCATGTTATTTTAGTGTAACCTGTTCATTCCACAAGGAAGAAATTTACTGAGTAAGCCTTTAATTAAGCCTTTTCAAGTTTGTGATGTTCTCTACTGGTATTGAGAAGCAAAAAAAATTGTAGTATCTGAAAAGTTCTAAGAATGAAATTTGCATGTTTTATTCCATTAGGTTTAAATTTAAGTCTCATTACCTATTTGAGCTTTTTTAGTAATTTTATTCAAAGTGTCAAAAAGGGTTTTTCCTAGGCCTTTGACATTTTCCAGATCATCCTTCATGGAGTAGGAGAGATCCATCAGGTAGTAAAGATCCACTGGGTAACCCTCAGCCCTCTTAAAGGTGATTTTGAAAGAGTGTGGAAGCCCTGTAAACACAGACATGATCAAATCAGTTACACTGCAGAGGTTATGTTTGTGACAGTTAGTGTAACCTATAAAAAAAAGTAAAAGATGTGGTATCCAAGAGATAATGACCTCAATTTCTAAATATGGGAGGTACATAACCTTTATAAATGTCCTTGAATATAAGAACTGAATGATATAAATTTAGTGATAAATAGCATCGCTCAAGAAGGGAAAGAAAAACTCTACTATACATGGCAGCCATTTACAGATATGCAATTCCAATACATACACACACATACATTATTGTTCTTAAAAGTATGAATAGTGTATAACTTGTGTATTCAAATATGCTGAATGTCAACACCAATGTGCCTTTGTTCTTTTTTTCTACGCATCGATGAAAAAGAGAAATAGAGTGCAGCAGCTGACTGTACTAACCAGGTCGCAATTTCAGGTGGATTTTTTGCGGACTCATTTGGACAGGCTCCTCGGAGTCAGATGACTGGGACAGAGGGTCGCTCTGTAAGATGATCTGCTGGTTTTTGGGGGAAATCATCTCTTCTGTTTTGCATCCTCTTTCAATTAGCTTTGCTTTGGTGTCACAGCGAACTGATTCCTGCTCACCAGCTTTGGTAAAATTCTTTAAAAAAAGGCAAAGCAGCGAAATCAGGATTTAACATAAAAAACAGCATAACATTCTGTGAAAGACAGCCTGATTGATACATAAATACATGAAAAACACATAAACAATACCAAAACTAAGGATACTCAAAGCACATTACGCCAAAAATTTTAAAAGACAACTGTGAATTCACGCGAATACACCCTGAAATGTATATTTATTCATTTCAATTTAGCTTATTTATATAGCACCAGTTCACAACACATGCTGTCTCAAGGCATTTTATAGTTGAATTTAGAATTATTTTTACTTATTTGAATGCATTAATTTAGTAAGCTTTGTCAAGTAAATTAAATGAGGCCTAGGCCTTTGTTTTTTACCCAGCACTAAATTTTTTTACTTGTTTTCTACCTTTTCTATCCTTTCTTTTGATGAATTGATAAATTGTAATTTTTGGAGAATGAAGCCTGTGTTCTCTTCAAGTTTGTCTCTAAAAAAATTAATAAAACAAAAGTTAAACACAGCTGTATTAATCAAAGGTCTGTTGTGAAATAGAAAAAAGTTGGGCAAAACTGGGCCTTGCCTCTGAGGGTTGCATTAACTTCTGTTTAGTGACTAAGAATTAATGATGATGAAGATCTTCCAAAATTAAATTCATGTAAGGTTTGGGTTAGGCAACAATAATTCCTTTTTATGTGACTCATTTTTAAGTTGATATATTTAAACAAACCAATTTAAACATGAACCAGTAAAACAACCCACTTCCTGCCCTCAGTGAGTGGTGCTTAGATCAGTTTGCTAATTATATGTGTTGATAAGTGAAGAAGAGTCACACACGGAAAATTTTGTGGGGCTCGCAAACCAAATGTCTGTGACAGATATAAGAACTTCAGACTGTTGATATGTAGTTATTTTATTTATTTATTATTATTTTTTTTTTGCTTTTTGATAATTTACAGGGATACTTGTATGAGGTGTTTAACTAATTAATATATCCAGTCTAGTTTTAGAATTTTGTGTTTGGGTAGAAATATTTAATATCCAATACTACATTAATTAACACCAACCTAGAGAGTCATTTAAGCAGTAATACTAACACAATAAATACATTTCTTGCATAAAGATGATGCAGTAGTTAAAAAAGAAGTAGTTATAAGTCATTATATGTTTTGATTAAACTAATAATAATAAAATAAACTTTTTTTCTCACCAGCTGCTCACACCATGCACAGTATGGCCCAGATTTGATGCAGTCGTCACAGGAGTTGATTACCGACTTTGAGCAGACTTCCTCTTGTTGGCAAAACCCTAAAAAGAAGAGATCTTTCTTTTTAAAATTAATGAATAAATAAAAAAAAAGTTTAACTTATATTCACTCACTGTTATATCTTCATTGTGTTCACACTTACCATGTTGGCCCAGCGTAAGGAGCAGGAGGGAAATTATGCACCAATCCATACTCTGGCAAAAAACAGACAAATATTAATTAATATTACAATAAACTAAATTGTTATATGAAACAAAACCGATAACTAATAAATCGCTCTTAGGCAAATAATGGGGCCACAGTTTATTTCAACATATGTCATAATAGCATTAAGACACCAACAAGTTCTGTGGAAATGGTTTACAGTGAGCTTCAGGGGACATGTTGAAATTTGTTAAAAGTTTACACCATAAAAGGCAAAGGCTGACATTAGCGTCATCTCCTTGATGTACTTCCTCTTTCTGGTTCCTGAAATAAATAATGGCTACACATATAAAACACACAAATCTTCTGGAAAGTACTAATTCCTTTAGGTTATTACAATTTATTTATGTAAACAGTAAAAAAAAACTGTTAAGATCATATATTGTTAATAACTAGCAAGGAAAGTATTGATACTGACGGTCTCAATGATGATAGCTTGGCCACAATAACGTTGCGATGTTTGTATTAGCAGTTTGCACAGCATTGGTGGATGTGCTCTGCCAAACAACCTAATTCATACACAAAAGTATTGTAGTAATTTAAAAGTATTTTTAACCAGTTAGAACATAGTTTTTATGAGTGATTACAAAGCTTATCTTAAAAAAAAAACACTCTGTTCTTAATTTGAAGGTCAGTTGCTGTTTTAAATAAAATTCTTCTGATACACTATTTCACATTCGGGAATCAAAAATAAAGACAGATTTCTGTGACACGGTTAAGTCCACTTTCTCATTTGGCATCAAGAAAGAACAATAAACTTTTGATGAAGTAAGTAAGATGTAAAATAATTTTACCCACTTCACTTGCTGTGCTTTCCTCATTTAGGCTTTCATTCTCTCCATGACCAGTTTTTTTTAAAAGCACAAACACAATCCAAAATGTAAGACTAGGACAAAAAAAAAAAGAAGCTTTTACTTACAAAAACCCTTGAAGGAAGCAATGTTCCTGCAAACAAGGCAGAGCGTCTCTGTGTAGAGACTGACAGTATATTTAGACCCACTTCCCCACAACATAGGAAGTTTTAGCAGTGTGAAAGGGTGTAGGGGAGGTCCCAGACACACACACATTCATAGTCGCACCAAACACACACAAGCTTAAGTTCCTAATTTTCCACAAAATATCTTACTCTAAAACCTACCTCTAATAAATAAAAGTCACCTTTTTATTAGTATCAAAGTATTTTGAAATAGTCATGTTTTTTAAAGAGGTTTGCTATGTATAAAACAGCCCTAAAGCTTCTTATAAGTACCTTAGACAAAAGAGTCTAAATGCAAAGTAAATACTTAGGGTTTTCTGAAGTGTTGTTCAAACCCGGCTGTCAATTAAAGTAATCTCTGAATTTTTAAAGATTAGTGTTGCACCGATACCGATACCAGTATCGGACGGGGGCCCGATACTGCCCTAAAATGGTGGTATCAGTATCGGCGAGTACCAACAAATAGTGCACCGATACCATTTTGAGAGCCATAAGTTTATTCAACCATTGTCACCCACTCCTGGTAGGCGATAAAAAGTTCTACTGGATTCACTTTGTATTCGATTTTTTCCTGCTTCACAAAGGTAGGCAGCAGCTTGACAAAGCCATGATGGTGATTATTTTATATTATTATGGTATCGGTATCGGCCGATACTGCACAGCCAGGTATCGTGTATCGTATCGGGGGAAAAAAATGGCATCGGCGCAACACTATTAAAGATAGAGAATAAGGATTCTCTAAAGGTTTTTCTGAGAACACTTAAAGTCTGAAGAGGGGTTTGCTTGTCTTCTTCCAGGCCCTTCAGGTAGTGGTAGAGCAGGGCAAGGTTTTGACTGATTATTGTTAAAGTGAACGTTTCCTTACTATATAAAGATTTGGATCTTATAAAAACAAAAGGTTCCAGTAATTTTGGATGACAATGATAATCAGACTTCTTTATGTTACTAATTACCTGAATACGCCTGTTTAAAAATTGCAACATTTTTCAGAGCAGTTGTTGCCAACCTGCAATAACAGCCAAGCAATTACTTTAAAAAATGTAAGAGTGATAACATTAGCTGGTGAAGATAACTTTTTCATTCCTAAATGGTCCAGTGGACTGTTTTTTTTTAAACTGTTTTTGAAAGTTATAGCATTACTTTTGTTAACACAATTTTGGGAAACACCCCTGCAACCAGTTGTATTGTGACAAATGACCCTTTTATTTATTTGGTTATTAAACGTGTGCATAATGTTTTGACACTAGTGGCTCTAATTTTGAAGTGGGTTTCAGAAAGAGAGGGAGACATAAAGGGTTCGCAGGTCATGAACCAGGTACAGCTAGATCAAGGACTGAAGTCTCCTCACATGGGCCACCTACATCACCCCTGCATCATCCCACATATTTAGATTTTGTGAAATTCTGATACTTATACATGGAAATATTACTTATGATTTAAACTCTAGTGACAGAAAATCTGAATCCCAGCTTCACTGAATCATTACTGACTCATCGTATAAGAAAAGGACTAAAGATAAGGACAAATCAGCCATATTTAGAAGGAAAAGCACTGTTATTGCCAATGTTCATGATACAATGAATTTTCGCATCATTTATTTAAGCAGCATTCATGTCAGCCAAGTAAAGTTATGATGTACTGTATTAATATGTTGCACTGATACCGATACCAGTATCGGGCAGGGTCCCAATCCAGCACTAAAATGGTGGTATCGGGGAGTATCGTCAAATAGGGCACCAATACCATTTTGAAAGCCAAAAGTTTATTCAACTATTGTCACCCATTCCAGGTTGGCAATAAAAAGTTCTACTGGATTCACTTTGTATTAGTCTTTTCCCTGCTTCTCAAAGGTAGGCAGCAGCTTGACAAAGCCATGAGGGCATTTTTTTTTTTATCCAAGTGCAGTTCTACACACACACACACACACACACACACACACACACACACACACACACACACACACACACACACACACATCAATTTCAAACAGATGGTATCGGTATCGGCCAATACTGCACAGCCAGGTATCGGATATCAGTATGGCATTGGCGCAACACTAGTTAATATATAATTTTTTATTCAGTAGTGTTATTTTACACCAGCTTTATTTGGAGAGCGTCGTGTTTTTCACCATAAAGGAAAAAAGACCTAAAGCTGCAGGTGTGAAAACACCACGACTCAAATACATAAACTGAATAAAACTGTATCCTTGCTTTATCCCTGCTGGGGCGGGGGTGCTGCTTGTCCTATCTCCAGCTGTCTATGGGCAACTGGTCTAAGGGCGACCTGTAGACCCTGGACAGGGTTTAGTGTATATGATATTGTAAAATGCATGTATCATTCTTAACCGACTGTTGTGGTCGAATCTGTTCAGAGAAACAAGGGCTGTTCAGCAGAACCTTTTGAGCTGAAGTAGAACCAAACCTTTTCCTCTACTTAACAGTAGAAAAAGACTTAGTTTATAAACTTTTTGTGATAAACTACTTCTTGGGTAGGATTAACTTTCTGTAGCTGGTTAATGTGTGTTGATTGCAGTAAAACAAACAAAAAAGTTTATTTAGCAGTTTGCTAATCATCTGATATATCAAGTCTACATAGCCTCTAAACTATTTTTACCACAACTAATTAAATCCCAAACTGTTAAAATAAATATATATTCATCTGTATTGATGTGCTGGTTGGTGCTTTGTTGTCCTGACTGATGACTATTCCTTCAAGAGTGAAGTTTAAAAATTTGTGAAACTGGAGCTGAAAAGGTAGCATTAAAATTCTGATGGGTGACGCTAGATGCAGAAAGACGATAAGGTTGGATAATGGGAAAGAATTTTCATTGTATTGATTCCCAGCAGAATAACAAGCCTTTGTGACTGTCAGTCAGTGACAGCTTGTGATAAGTAAACCTACTCCTCCTTTTCAAAACTTGACAAAACAGACTTCACTATATGCATGTCATAATAACACAAATTTTGGCTTAATGATACTTTTTTAAATCATAAGAACTTAACTGCTTTTACATAGCTTGTGTTGCCTTATCCATTTATTTAAAGCTAGCTCCTTATGTTGTCAGCTACGTTTTCCTCACCGTCGGCCTTTGTTTCTTTTCTTCCTCCACAACTTGCTGTTAAATGTCTGTTGATGTATAACTTGAAGTTACAGCAACATTTATTTATGTTTAACAATTAGAAATTTCCTGTATTTGTATTCCTCTTTTTATGCAGCACTGTACTTTCGCTTTTGGTTTTCCCTTTTTCCCATCTTTCAACATGCTTATGGCTTCTGCTTAGTGGTTATTTTAGAGAACCAGGTAACAATTATAGTCATGATGCTATTTTTGACCTTCCCATAAGGCACAGTTAACACAGTACTTTTTTTCATTACAATAGATAAAATCATGGGGACAGACAGCAAGACAGAGAGGAAGTAGCTTTTTTCCGGTTTAACACTGAGCAATAGTTACTCCCTCTGTTATCACATGCTTTAGATAAAAGAAGGACACTCAGAGGCTACCCTGCTGCTATTCCCGTTTGCAACCTGCGCAGGGTGCGGCGTTATACAGCAGAATTGTCCATGTTTATTATTAATAGAATTGACTACTGCAACAGTGTCCTAACATGTCTGCCTAAGAAATCGATCAGACAGCTGCATTGGGTCCAGAAGGGAGCTGCTTGCGTCCTCAACACAACTAAGTGTAGCACATCTTATTTTTAATTACACTGGTTTCATGCAGGGGCTGCTCAGTGGCACTGCTGCCTCGCAGCAAGAAGGTTCTGGGTTTGATTCCCAGCCCAGGGTCTTTCTGCATGGAGTTTGCATGTTCTCTCTCAGCCTGTGTGTGTTCTCTGGCTTCCTGCCACAGTCCAAAAACCCTGACTGTTAGGTTATTTGGCCTCTCTAAATTTTCCTTAGGTGTGAGTGTGTGCATGAATGGTTATTTTTCCTCTTTCTTTGAAACATTGGCCCTGTTTGAATTTCTGGGATGCGTCCTTAGAAGGTGATAGACGATTAGATCATAGCGCGGCGCAGAGGTCTGGTCGGATTCCAAGACTCCTCGTTATGCGGCCTTAACATGCGTCTTCTTTTGGCCCGATTTGAAGGACGGGTCCGATGTATCCTCATTATCCTTGGTTTTCCCAGGATTCATTGCGAGACAAAGCAAGACGGCTGCTCCGTGATCAGAGGAAAGGTTACTTGGCGCCGAACAGTGGTGAATATTGGAAGTGCAGTTTAATATAATACAAGTCTGTGGATAGTTCCGTATGAAATTAATGGAAATAGTTGTTTTAATGGTTGAGTCAGATATGTGGCGGTAATGTTTGATTTATCTAAAAGGTTTTAATCTGTTACTGTGTAAATGGGTTTGGCTGTAATTTAAGGACAGATTATAATATATCTGCAGTGTGGGGAATATAAATCTGATAGGATTTAAATTTTTTAAATGCTGTTTTGCACAATATACTTAACTAAGTATATTGTTGAATAGTAAAGATTTTGCAGATATATTCTTTATACATACATTGTTTAGATATA